CGTGATATTTCTTTTTCTCCAAGCAAACTTGTTGCTTCTTGTAGCAGAGCATCGAGATCTTCTTTTTTCTTGGACGCCTTCTTCGCCGCCATTTTTCACTCTGTGACTTGCGCTACCTTAGTATCTCCAGTCTACCGTTGGACTCACGGTCATCTCGATGTTGAATGATTATACTTCATTTTGTCACATTTGAGAAGTTATGATAATCCTTCATTCGGGGACGAGATGGTGTTGAACCTAATGCAGTCGAACCTAAATGCCGAACAATAAAATAAAACCATTACGGTCAGCGGTCACTGATATGATCCCAAGAGGATTCAACATTCAACAGTTTTCGGAAAATTGCGCGAGAAACAACTCGGAAGAATTTCTCATCGCTAATGCCATCCGTGAAGGAAGGAGAAGGCGCCTTAACATGCAAATGGCGTTAAAACACCTAGTTGCTCGGAGGAGGAGAGTTTTGAGTGCTTGGTTCCTTGTTTTGTCGTTTATTTCATCGCAACGAAACAACAACACTCGTGTCTCGCTCCTGTCGTCCGTTGAGCAGAAACACTGGATGGTGGGAGAATGCTTGGAACAATTATTCGGAGGCAAGATTCAAGAAAACATTTTGGATTTCTCGGTCAACGTAAAACGGGGTTGACAGTGGGTGTAACGGTTGACTATGCACTTAATTTTCATGAGCATGTATCGGAATTAGTTCGTAAAGTCAGTAATCAACCCCAAGTGCTCAAACGAAAAAACGTCTAATACCAACTAGTGCTAAGAAACGTCTCTATGAAGCATTTATATTATCCCGTCTTAATTATTGTTCTATCATCTGAAATCATTGCGGCAAAAAGAATTCTGATAAACTGGAGAAAATTAATGAGAGATGTCTCCGTTTTGTCTTTATTGACTTTCACACCACTTATGATAGATTATTGGATTACATTATTCAGCCCTGTTTACAAGACCGCAGAATACATGATATGTTGACTCTTACTTATCAAGCCCTTAATGGTAACACCCCTGTATATATTAAGAATCTACTCAATGAAAGAGATATTCCTTACAACCTACGTGGCCAACGTCGTCTCAATGTCCCCAGGGTTAATACTACAAACTATGGCTTACATTCTTTCCGTTATTCAGCCTGTTAACTCTGGAACTCGTTACCAAACTCACTTAGAACCGCTCCTACGACGAAGGCATGAGCTGTAAATCGAATTGAATTTAATCGTGATTGTTGTTCTTTCTCTAATTTAGCTTGAAAATTTTAATATCTTATTTCTATACATAATTGTTTGGTCTATTTAATTTTTAGTTTTTATCTTCAAAGATATTAGCACAGTTGTTTGCTAATCTGTAATTCGAAGTTATATAAAGGTTTTCACTTCAGTGAGGCCTACACGATCCCCCAGCTCGTGTTTAGAATAGCCTATTCAAAGTTTGGCCCTCACGAGTATGTCTTTGAGCGACCGTCCTTACTAGGTTTGCAACTTCAGAATACCCGTCCACATCAGTTACATATGTCGGGAGGCTTTGAAGAATGAGGTATAATACAATAGACGCTATTCTTATTCAATGACATGTAAATGATGTGGCCGGGTATTCTGAAGTTTAGCCTAGGTTTGTAAGATAGAAGGGGCGGATTTTTGTATATTTCGCTCAGTAGTGGTTGTGTTTCTATTAAGGATACCGTGCACCTTCAGGGGTGTCTCGCGTGTAAGCGATGTAGCGCGTCCGGTTTAAACTGTAGATATCTAAACCCCTATATCAAATTAAAGCTTATAGGACTGGCCATCAAACTAGACCAAAAATTTTGAAAAAAAATGGATTGTCGAATTTTTCACGACTTCTAAATGCGAGCGCCCGAATCACCTTTTGAACGTTACATGTTAAAGCGAATTTGAGGTAAATGGACTGGTTAGACCGAAAGCTAGATAGATAAACAATTAACTGACAATAGTGAGGGCTTTGGGGGCCAATTTGTAAATAAGTTTTACCGAAGTTTTTCCTCTTGTTAGCAAATGAAGCTCGAAAAGGCAATAATAAAAATTACCTCCAAAACACAGTAAAAAAAATAAGCCAAAACCGTAGTTGATTGAGGTAAGACCATAACAGTTGTTAAGACACAAGCCTACCTACCATATGCAACAGACTTGGAGAGCAAAAAGGCCAAAGACGGTTTTGGGTCATGACTTGAAAAATCCACCAAAACCTCACGAAAAATAATTCGCCGAGGGTTGTAGTAAGAGCAACTTAATCCTGAAGCTGGAACATTTTTAAACGCCTTGTCTCTTATATTGACTGTAAAGAGAACGAAAAGACCATGCTATTTGAAGTGATTTGATGCTTGGGGGTCACCTCAAACTTAAAGCAATTTTACTTCGAAGTTGAAGTAAAATAAGATAAAAATCTAAATTTCCACCTTTCCTCGGATCAAATATCTCACGATCGTCTCCACATACACCTTTGTGATTCACAAAATTAAAACATCAACATCTTAAGACTAACCTTCAAGGTTTGTTGTCTCATGTGTAAATATTGATCCTCAATAAATCAAATCTCAAACTTCAAGTTTACGGGCTTTCTTTCCTGGCGTTTTGTTCGCACTTTGATCATTAAAATATCCTCAACCGAAGAGCCAGCAAACACCATGAGTATCCCCAGAGTTAGAAATGTTGGCGAACTTGTCATACTCCTTCATCTATACTTATAACATAGATTGTAAATTCGTGCAATCAAATTCAATAGCGCGAGCGTACGTGCTTCAATTTTCCATTGTGCACGCTGGTGACGTCAGCAAACAAATGCTTCGCGAAAAAATTTTCTTCTCGCGAGTGACTTCAGCATTTTTCATTAAAAAACGGGAAAAACTTCCGCAAAAAAGTTAAACTAGACATGGNTCTTCCCATTTCTAGTATCATAACATCCTTAGAAACTATCTCAGATGCTAACGGTCGACCAGCAGGACGCCTTACATTCTGAAGGACTGGATACGGCCGCGAGCTAGAATTAGAAGGTCTTCTGTATCTTCCTCTTGAAACTGTCGGAAACCTCCTCTGCAATTCTGTTAGCGCGCTATTAGCTGGCTGGGTTTGGCGAACGAAAGTCGTCTCCGATGTTGTTGGTTGACGTTCGTTACTAGAAAATCTTGTCGTTGACGGTCCGTGCTCAATTAACGAGCTTAGCTGATTAATACTGTCTATTGCAGCTTGTGCGATTTCTTTCACTTGCTCGGGAATCGAAGGGGCATCTTTGTTTGGCAGCACAGGTAGAGAACTACCGTAAGGTGTTATGGGTAAAGGGATTTTGAGAAACATTCAAAATTAATTCCAAACACACGCAAAATTAATTCCAAACACCAGAGACAATTAATTACAAACACACAAAATATTCGTCTTCTAAAAATATAATTAATAGGAATGGTAAAATTAATTTGGCGGTTAAATAAAATATTTTAGAAATGCAAAATATTAATTCTATCAATGTGTAAAATTAATTCACACACAGTTAAAAGTTATATGCACCATTTTGACCAGAACTAGTCTCCTTCGTAGCCGCTCGGGCCGGAGTCACGCAACGCTCCCCGTCCCCACGCGTGGGGACGGGGAGCGTTGCGTGACTCCGGCCTGAGCGGCTGCGAAGGAGACTAGACCAGAACGGGCCCTCATAAAATATACTTTTACGAAACAAAATAAACGTATCTCGATGAAAGCACGCTGACGTATGAACCAATTGTTAAATTGAACAAAGGACTCAAGGAGTGGGCGTCGTGGCAGCCAGTGCGAAAGCGTCAAGCAATCTTTCCTCATTCAGTCGGCATACGCCGTTCAATCTAAAACGAGAAAATAGCTAGATGAGCATGCCTCCAAAGCCAGATACTTCCAAAAGAGGATGTAAAGAACCAAAAGGTTCAGTAAAGAATATTACTGAACAGGTAGGAGGTTTGAAGATCGAAGACAGCCATAGTAAAGATTCAAAGCAAGGAAATGATGGAACCCCTGAGACTAAGAGCAAGGGAACTGTAAGGAAGAAAGGGGCACGAAGACCATTGCTGATAGACATTAAAAAATGTAACACAAACAATGGAGAATGTATGGAGAATCATCCGTGGGAGCCGAATCGACCCAAGATTATGCCTGACGAAATGGACGAATCCGCAGTGTATACGGTGGGCAAAAACTGGAAACATTGGGATAAGGTTGATTTAAGAAAAATATATCAGCATCTCCCCAAATTTGTCAAGGAAATGAAAGGGAAAACGTGTCGGCAAGAGCTAGAAGAGGTATTGCAACTTGATAAAAGCTCGGACACCAGAGACTCAGAGACCGAGGCCTCAGCAAACAAAGACACAGACAAAGAAGGCTCAGGCAACGACGGCTCAGAAAACAATAGCTCAGCTAACAAAGACATGGAAAGCGGAAGCTCAGAAACCAAAGCCCCACCCAAAATGCTGCGGTTTAAGCCGATCTCTGACGAATATCTAACCCCGCACGTAAAGGAGGTAGTTTACATGCAAAGGAAAAAGGACGAGCCAAAGGACAAGCCAGACCTTCCAGACACACCGAAAGTAAAAGAAAGTTTTAGGGCCTATTCTTTGCCACGGCCACAAAACCCACAACAAAAGCCAAACATCTGGTTCCTAGACTGCGAATATATGTGCAAGGTTCATTTACCTGGTAACACTTCAGATTGGCTCGACGATAGCGACAAGAGCGGTAAGCGAATTAGAGCAATTAAACCCGACAAAATCGACCAAAGATGGATTTTTACACCTTCCTTTCGTCGAGCGAAGATTGCTCTGCTGGATTGGCCGGATGATCGAATCCTGAACTCTAAAAACACAATCAGGATTCTTGTGGTAAGACCCACAGAATTCGAAGAGTATGTCAAGTATTGTGGGGACAAGTTTCACATCATCAGCCTACCAAATGATGAGATTGGTGCTGGATACCCCAGATTGTGGATACAAAAAATTGCTCTACGATTGAAGTTGAACTTCATTTGGATGATTGATGACAGTCTTCTGTGCTTTTACGAGTACCACCCAGATGATGGAGAAGAAACTATATATGATCCAGACAGACGGCGAAAGTTCAGCATCGTTTTTAAAAGTATTGAATACTTCGTGCAGTGTGCCAGTTCCCACACTGTCCCCATCGCAGCCATGAGCCCGAGGCAATTTAGGGGCGCAAAACCTCCATTGTTTGAACAACTTGCTTGCCTTCCTCCACAGATTGCTGTGTATCTCAACCTCGAGGCACTGAAGTCTAGGGACATATACTATAGACCTGAACTACAGGTCCTAGAAGACATGGTCTTCGGTTATGAATGTGAGCAAAATGGCCTTAAAGTTTTCGTGGACAATCGCATTCAGCTGAAGGATAAAGATTGGAGAGACACTGGAGCCAGAAGTATTTCTGTACAACAGAAAATGAGGGAGGCAGATGAGGTATTCGAAGCCAACACTACGACCCAATTGATCTTCCGATACTAAATGTAAAGTATGTTATGAACTTTGCATTGTTTACTGGTTATTGGATGTAAACCAATTCTAGATAGTGCTTTTAATGCTGTTTTAGGGATTTTAACTAGTTTTGAAGTTTTATTTACTGAAGGAAAAATCTTCAGAACATTGACAAGAACACTCATATTTGTAATGGGAAAATACACTTGAAAATTTCTTCCATAATTATGAACATACAGTTAAAATAAGTTAGACACATTTTGCAAGTATGGCTCTATAGTTCCATGTGTTAAAAAGAAAATATTTATAAAAATAACTAAATGACTTGTTTCCTGGTGGAAGTGGAGGTCTTGATGCCACACCAGGTGTTAGTGACATTCCTTGATGTCCACCCTCTGGGGTACTGCTGACAGGACCAAACATTCTTCCTGCAGTATCAAAGGGGCCTGGGGAGGGATGGCCTGGGGAGGGATGGCCAGGGGAGGAAGGCACCACAAGCATCAGAGATCCTTGAGTTGAGGAGCACAAACTGCTTCCTCTCCTTTGCTGTTGGGTGAACAGGAATTTTACAATCTTACCAGACTTGAGTGCCTGGAAAAAAAATATGCAAGATTGATTTACTAGAGGTTACTCCCTATTTTAATTGTCCCGAACCATTTGGAATCTTTGTTTTTGTAGCATTTAGCAACTAGGAGTACTGTAGTTATTTGGTTATGCCCCACGGTTTTTTCAGGAAAATTCTGTCTTGGGAGGAAAGTTAGTGCTGAAATTGGGGTGTACCTTATAGCCAAGAATAGCCAAGTATTTTTATGCAAGTAAATCTTACAACAATAATTTCAGCAGAATTGGTAATTGTAATCTTCAATGGAGTGTTAATGTAGTTAGCCATATGTTCTTTTGAAAGGTTTTCCTAACAGTTCACTGGTGTCAATTTTTAACAGCTGGCCTTGCTTGTTCAAGAGATGCACGATGCTTGTGTCACATAATTTCCTACTTTTTAAAGACCGAAGTCTTTTACATTATTTCAGCGCAATTAGAAATTTTCCAGATACCAACATGTAATTATCAATTTTGGATAGAGATGAGAATGATTATGGTAGAAGAAATAAACTGTAAGTTGAATAAAAACATAGGTCTTTGAATCTAATAGTAAAATTTAAACCAAACCTAAAACTCAAGCATGAAATTTATAGCATGGATTTACTTTCCTAAGTTATACAGTGGAAATAACAGAAAAATAGACATTTTAGGAAGGAACTTAAGGTCGAGTGCAGTATATTATGAATGTTAGGAGCATGTTAGACTTGCAAACCCTAGTTCCAAGGCTCAAGTCCAGTACAAATATCCTGCAATTTTGTACACTGGTTTGCACAGTTGATTATTTTTTGTTGTAAAACACTTGTTTAACAGGTTGACTATCTTGTACGAGTTTTTTAAAAGGGAAAAGCATGGATATCATTTTAGCAATGTATACAAGTCATACAAAATAAAGCAGCTGGATGATTAAAAACTTAAATCATTGGTAGATGTTTTAGTGTGTAGCATACTTGCTGTTTGTATTTGACTTACCCTACCAGCTTTTCAAAATATGGCATAACTCATAAAAATACTCAGGGATACCACACACCAAAATGTCTTCTTAGATACATGTATCATTACTCCAAGAAGCATAATAAAGAAGGTTCAAGGATGATGCATACCTTCTTCCTTGGAGGTTGTGGTAGTTTTTTAGCAAACACCAGCCTGTTGCTTGGGAAACCTTCACAGCCTCCATTAAGATCCAGTGAGGTCTCCCTCTCTTCAGGGCTTCCACCCTCAAATATAAGCCATAAAACCCACTTCAGTGTTACAGTCTGGTTTTGAGACCACATCAAGCTACCAGACAGAGAGGGCTGAAAGATTGATAGAAGAGTAAAAAAAAAAAAAAGAATAGTCACGGCATTTTTCAACAAAGTCTGACCTAAATGTAGGTCCTGGTTTTACAAAATCACTTGACCCTTGACCTTCTTTGTAACTGGGTTTCTTGATGTAAATAAATTATTCTCCAATACCAGCTATATGCCTACAGTTATCAACATTTGTATGACCCGTATGACATGTGACCGCGAACAGGAGGACAAACAGTTGTATTCAAATGGAACATGCTTGAAGCTGGAGTGAATTTATTGTTGGATTTTTCCCGTTATGGTGAACTTTTGTGCGGTATTTGGTTGCTCAAACCGTTCTAACAGAGAAAAGGACAAAAGTTATTTTCGCATACCTGCAATTGTTACCAGATCGAACGCTAAAAAGCGAGCTTTAAAGCATCAAACGTAGAGCGACTTGGCTCTCTAGGATCCGAAGAGGAGATCTAGGGACTGATCCCAGTGATTTTCACAGAGTTTGCGGGGACCATTTTATTTCAGGTTTGTATACATGTACTTTATACCACAAACCACGAGGCATAATGATCGGTTTTGGTGATTTTGAACTGTATTCGCTCAGCTTTCGATTCCACACACTTCAGTTTTATGCCCACGATTGAGAGCGTTAAGCATTGTCTTCGTTTGTATATCTTCCGAATGGCAGTTGTTTGATCTCATTCCCATCTACATAGGAAAACCGTCGTCGATTTATGATAAGGAAAACCCAGACTGGGCACCAAATCAGAATCTTGGTTATGATTTCTGTGGCGTTTCAGTGAATAGCAATGAAAGATCACAAGAAAGGATTGAAAAGCGAAGTAGGAGTGAATGTGCTAGTGCTCTGCTAGAACTGTCCTGTCACAGACCATCAGATGGCATCGAAGATGCATGAGATGAAGATGCACCCAATATTGAAGAACCCACAGTGAAAGAGTGCCAAACGGAAATTACTTGTGCTTATATATCAGGTTTAGAGAAGGAAAATGCTTCACTCAAAGAAAAGTTGAGAATGAACTCCCTCAATGAGGACTCTTTTAAAGACAATGACTAGGTTTTATTTTACACCGGGCTGCCAAATTGGTCACTTTTGTTATGTTTGTTTAATTTTCTTAAGAATTCTAGTCCAGACCTGAAATCATCAAGTGGGATTTTAAGCCCCTTTCAAAAAGCTTTACTTGGTTTAATTCGCATGAGGTTGAATTTGACAGGGAGGGACTAATGGGGTACAGGTTTGGGAGTATTAGTGAGGCCACTGTGTCTTGCACATTTCTGCATGTTGTTGATGTGCTTTACCATAGGCTTAAACCTTTGATAATCTGGCCTGACAGGGATGCTCTTCGTAAAACCCTACCAATGGACTTCCGCAAGCACTGCCCAAACTGTATTGTTATTATTGACTGTTTTGAAATATTTCTGGACTGCCCTGTGAATCCTCTTGCAAGGGCCCAGACCTTTTCAGCTTACAAACACCATAATACTGTGAAGTATCTTGTAGGTATTACTCCCCAAGGTACTATGAATTTTATTTCAGAAGGGTGGGGTGGGAGGGTTAGTGACAAGCACCTTACAGAAAATAGTGGGCTTTTAGATCATCTTAACCCGGGGGATGTCATTCTTGCTGACAGGGGGTTTGATATCCAAGAGTCAGTGGGATTATTTTGTTCTACAATCAAGATTCCCGCTTTTACAAAAGGGAAAAAGCAACTCAGTGGAATTGAGGTGGAGCAAACCCGCAGGATAGCAAATGTTCGCATTCATGTGGAGAGGGTTATTGGAAATATTTGAAAGAAATATAGCATTCTGAGTGCTACTCAGCCAATTGATTTTGTCACTGTACGCAATGGGGATGTAACTACCTTAGATAAGATTGTAACAAGTTTTTGTGCCCTAGTGAATATGTGTGACTCGGTAGTTCCATTTCATTAAACACTTTAATATTATCCTTATCTTAAATTTCCATACAACAATTTTTAACTAGTTGTTAGCTGTATTTGAATCTCATGATAGAAAAATGTAGAAGTTCATGAGTTGGTTTTATCTGTTTAAAAAAAATTACTCAAATATTGTCAGTATTCTTAACTTGAGATTCCACCCATGCTGTAACTGCCTACTCGCTTCACATAGATTTCCCCTTTTGTCGCTTTTGGCAATCTGGACAGTACCATGTATTTGATTTTGGAAATGTGTTTAATTTTAGACATTCCAAGTGAAACCACTGATAGCTGCACCTTCCATCATCACATCCAACCATTTGCCCATGTTCTCCACCCCTACAATAACAAAATTCATTAACATTTCCCCCTTCCACTGTAGCAGACCCATCTGCTGAAGATGTGACTGGTCTCAAGTACCATCGGCCCATAACCTCAGGTAAAATTGCTCGCACAAAAAACTCTTTTGCTTCAGGAACCTTCTACCCCCAAAACAGTTTGTCTGGAAAAATTCTCTCAATAAAAAGACCCTTTTTAGTCCAAACAACAAAATCAATATATTTCAAATCTGTGCACATCAGCTGCAACTGGACCTGTTGAAAAAAAAATACAAAAGATCAAAACCTTACTGCCATTTACAATTTAGCATCAATATTGTTATTGTAGCAGTCTTGTATCTCACATATCATCTCATATTCTAGAAACTCAGACAAGAACACTTGCCAAGGTTTTTGTCTGTAGCTGAAATATTTGTAAAACTGCTCTTGAAAGGGTTCCATTATATAACACAGGTACAATTTCCCAAAATTAATGAAAATGTAACATTAAAATTTTAACCTATGGTGTACCTGGTAATAATATTGCTGATTTTGCTTGAGTCAATGTGCTCCTGTTGTTGTCACCTCCAAGCAAAAATTCTTGTCCTGGGCAGATGTGGAGATGTCATCATTCTTGTGACAAAATGGACACTAAAAAAAAAATCAAAGTTTATGGAAGTGTAATGTCTTCAGTTTAATTAAAACGATCCAAAATTCAGCCTTGGAATTTCTAATCAAAATGACCAAAAGAATCCAAGGATTAGGAATGTCTTTCCTAAGTCACTGGCTGAGAAATTGAACATGTTATATTTGTTAATTAGAAAGATCAATAAAACATGTATTTGCAAACATGAGCTAACCTGGCCATATCAGTTGCAGACTATAATTAATAAACAATCTTACATTATTAAAAAAGTCATCTGGTATCTTTACTACAAAATCTAACATATCACCGCCATATAAAAACTTCACCCAAGCGCAAATTAAAACCTTAATTTCACATACACCAGCTCCACAGCAATCACAGCAGACTAACCCATCTGGCGATGCTCCAAGGTAGGAGTGGTCCGTGCTCACAAAGAGGCCTGAATATGACATACTAAAGTTCTTGTGTTTCCCGTTTTGAAAACTTGCATAGGTTTCCTTGGCTACTTTTTCAAGCTGGCAGCCCCACTTAGTGGCCTCCGTGCTGAACCGTGCCATTTCTGGGTGGCATATGCTCATGATCAGGGAATGTGATGGGCAAGAGGGATCTGTGTCACAGGCATTCTTAAACTTGGATGCTGTTATGCGCCCAGTCCTCATTCTAAACCAAAGTCTCGAGTCTGCCTGATCTCGAGTCCTTTCCTCCACCAATGCCTGTTGTTTCTTAGTGACTTGAAGTTCTTCAACTATTTTGTTGGCCTTTTCCAGTAAAGTTGGGTAGTCTGCATTAGCTAGGCTTTCATCATACAAATTGGACAGCACATCAGGTAGATCAGGAGTTAGAGACTTTGGAACATAGAAAACTGCATGGTCAGGTATTAGGGACAAAATAGCTGGCTTAGAAAGGCACTTATTGATGTTATTAAAAAATTCAGTAAGTTCAGCCTCTGAAGGGGCTCCAACAGATGATTCTTTGATGACTGAAGCAGCACTGGAAGGAGTTTTAGAAAATTTGATATCTTTTACTCTGGAATAAGGCACAGATTTCACGGCTGATGGAAGAACCCAATAGGCTTTCTTTTCTGTGACTGTCAGAGAATCCCTTCGTTTCGTAG